TATAATATTCAAGTTAAAAACGCATTGGCTACCAGAGGCACTACTGAGTGAGTTCTATGTCCAAAAATATTTATCATGGGCAAATGTATATTAAAATAACATTTCAATTTTTAACTCAAAGCTCAAAGTTTTTGACTTAACCACCCCGTTATATATATATATATATATTGAGATTCGGGGAGGGTTGGGAGCTTTGACTAGGGGGAATAGACACATCTGCATCAACTGTACAAATCCATTACTGTTACGTTAGGTTACCTAAGTACAATTTGTTCAATATTATGTTAACTCCACAAGTATGTTAATATTACATTAACAACATTTACTGTTACACTCTAAAGCCACCCAGTTATAGTACTGCTACGGTAATTAATATTAAATGAATTCTACACGCATTGTATCTAATCTTATATGCATCGTCAAAATAAAGTATTTTAAGTTTTATTGATAGCTGAGATGTAATAACGTATAGTAATTTCTATCGTTAAGCCTAAATGTCACATCACGTGTTATAATTACTGTAAAATAAAGTCAATATTATTTGAATGATAGTGTATTCACTAAGTATAGTATTTAAGCAAACTCACGCTATTTATCTTAGTGTGATATACAATAAATAGAGAATTATACTAACCGTCCAAATACAGGTTGTTTGTCAAAAACCGGGAATGAAGGGGGACTGGTTTTTTTTGTTAACCCAGTAAAAAGGCGCCAAACACAAATTCTTAATGTTCGAAGTGTTCGTCGTTGATTGTTTTTCTTCAGGTCTGAAGCAAGTGGAAAATGTTATTTACTTCTTGATTTATCAGTTCTTGACCTTGGACATGCCCTTTAGTATAGACATAATATTAATTAATTATAAGTGAATGTATCTTATTTGCTTGATGTGAGTAACTTGTACCACTATTTGTCTATTATAAGTACCAGTTTTCTTCACGATCAAATGATAGAACTTGCATGAATGAAATCATAAGATTTTCTTTAAACATCCTTGAGTTTGCCGCCTGACCTAAAAACGTATTCGTTTTAAAGGAAAAACCCTAACATTACATCAAGTATTATTTCATAAAAGAACCACATTCTCGCAGTTTTTTGGTGGATATAAAATTTTGACTTTGATAAATCAATCCACCATTAAACGTACCGCAGTGATCCTTATCATAACGTCTGATTTTACGTTGCGTAATTCATTCCAAGTACAACTCTCGTGCAAAACAGCTCACAAAAATTCCTTTAAAACTATTTACTCATTTATCTGTTAGCTCTTATCAGTTACTGACTCAATTACACATTTAACTTTTTAACTTGCTTAAAACCTTTGCTACCTGAGTACGTATAATGTATTTTGCACAGAAATCACATTTATTTTATATTAATACATCAAAAACACATAAATCATTCTACAGCCTATAAATAATGATATGAACATTTAACTTCTTTCAAGGCCGAGTCTTAATCGTCTCGTTTAAATTTCACTGAATTTTTGTTGAACTTGCAAATATTTAAGGTCAACCCCTCCCCAGGTAGCTCAGCGTCTAGTCTGAATGTTTGTAACACTAAAAATTTGGTTTCGATACTTGGACAGACATCACAGTGTGTAATTTGAATTTCACGCAAAACTACACGAGGGCTATCTGCGCTAGCCGTCCCTAATTTAGCACTGAAAGACTCAAGGGAAGGCAGCTAGTCATCACCACCCACCGCCAACTCTTGGGCAACACTTTTACCAACGAAAAATGGGCTTGACCGTCACATTATAACGCCCCCACAGCTGAAAGGGTGAGCATGTTTGGTGGGATGGGGATTCAAACTCGCGACCCTCAGATTGCGAGTCGAGCGCACTATGCCGGGCCTAGTTACTAGAGTTCCATACATTTCTTTGCCCTCAAGATATCGTTTCACCATACTTGTTTATGCTTGGAATCATTGTCTTGCTGGATGATGAATCCCTGCCCGATGAGTCGTGTTTGTGAGCGAATGGCATGATGGATCAGAATTCGTATGTATTTGTCAGCAGTCAGGGTGTCACTAATTTTACTCAGATCATCGACACCGCTGTCTGAGATATAGCTCCAAATTAGTATTTTGTCACACTCTGAATATATATATATATATATAAAGAAATATTTCCGAGTTATAAGTTTTATAAGAAAATTTATTAAGTGAAAAAAAAAAAGACCGATTAACTGAAAAACTTACAATGTACAACCAGAACAAAAACACACTTTACGGGTATTAAATCTATCTTTGAAAAGTTCACCCTTACAAATTCACAGCCCTACGAATTTTACGTAAAGATCTCACCATGCTTCACTGTAAATGTTGTATGTTGTCTATAACATCATTCTCGTCTGCGTTCTCAAACAAACCCTAGATTCAACTATAAAGACCATAAGGCAACAACTTTGTTCATTTCATCGTCTGTGGTCCGATGCGTATTTCGATCTTTTGGTTTGGTTACCTATTCTCAGCAGCGGTTTGCAGGCAGCTCGGCCCGGCATGGCTAGGTGGGTAGGGCGCTTAACTCGCAATCTATAGGTGGACGGTTCGAATCCCCATTCCACCAAACATGCTCGCCCTTTCAGCTGCGGAACGTTATAATGTGACGGTCAATCTCATTATTCATTGGTAAAAGAGTAGCCCAAGAGTTTGCGGTGGGTGCTGATGACTAACTGCCTTTTCTAAAGTATTTCACTGCTCAATTAGGGATACTAGCGCAGATAGCTCTCGTGTAGCTTTGTGCGAAATTCAAAACCAAACCAATCAAGCAGCTACAAGTCCAGTAAGGCCACTTTGTCCAAATCTTACTTTTCTCAAGGAAACATTTACACCTGTATTTACAACTGCAAGGTTATTGGTAAGATTTATACTTGATCATCATCTATTTCGTAAAGAGCGTATCCTGAAATACTTGACATCACGTTTGGAGAATTTCTGTTTTTCTGCCTTGACCAATTTTATTATCATATGTACCAGTTTCACGTACCCTCTCCAGAGTTTTGCATACAGCTGCTACTGAAACATGGAATTCTACGACAATTATTCGCATAGAGTATTCTTGAGCAGCCAAAATTTGTAATTATAATTATACATACTTGTTATGCGGATTTCAGTTTCGGGAGCCATGACTGAATTCACATTTTTATACTATTGAGTATAGTATGGCTGTTTGTACTTCTATAGGCTTTATAGTGGTGTGGCACTTTCAGATTGGCTGAATGACAACTAATAACGGTGTAAACTATTAAAACGTGACTGTACTTAGGTGAAGTTAATTTTTACACGACAGTGTAATGGTATTCCAGTAGTATTCTCCTTTAATAGCCTCTTTTCATCGCTTTCATGATTGTTTTTAACATTGTAACTAAATCAAATATGAATATTTCAAAACCAGGAAAAAACCAACTTAATCTTTTTCTTACCTATAGTAAAATAATAGACTTTTTGTATAAAATCTCCAGACAATCTTATTTTTAAAAAACAAAAACAAAATCAAACAAATAAGCGATTAAATTAAATTTAATTGAATCGCGTTGTTTTCTCCTGGATATTTATAGAGTTTATTTACTAACTGTTAGATAAATTTACTAGCAAAAGGGAGTTTGGAATGTAAACGATTAAATTAAATTTTAAAATCTTTTCACTATTTACTGTGTATTTATAGAGTTTGCTTATTGAATTCTGGATTAAGTTATTGGTAAAAAAGCGCTGGATATAAATAACTATATTTGATGTAATTCAACTTCTCCTCTAAATATTGATAACTAACAGAAAATGTTATTCGAAAACAAAAAAGACTGGTATGTGAATGGCTAAATTACATTCAAATCAACATCCTTACTATCTTCTCGGTATTTTAGTAACTAACTGTCGGATAGTTGCAAAACAAAAACGGTGCTTCGGGATTGAAATAACAAAATTAATCCCTTCATTATCTTCGGGATATATCAAATACTTTACTCAGTAATCACCAATTCTTTTTAAATTGCAGGGTAAAAATTGGATATGTATATCAAGAATATATATATATATATCGTAGGACAAAGTTAAAAGATATTATGAAACAATAAAACCACAATAACAGATGAAGGTTGTGATAATATGTTAATATTGTTGTTAGGATTAATAATATCATTGAGACCAATAATATCAAGTTTATAGAATCTGACTTCATTTCGTGGGAAGATTATGAATCTTTGTACGTTAACTAGAGCATTATTATTATGTGGTTTCTGATATTCTGACTTGAAATCATTGTACAGCGCTCACACTCAATAACGTTACGTGTTTCATATCAAAGAAACGTTTATTTCATAAAAACATTTTCACGATTATGGGAAAGAAATATTGGGTCGCTAAATAATACCAGATGTCTGCGTGTACTGATAAACACCAAATAACTGACAGTTCCTGAGAGAAGGCAAAATACTCTCTTGCATACTTAGTAATATAACCATCAGATTAGAGTTAGAAGTGCCCACAGCTATGCTATTGAAATTAAAAGATGATTACTACACATGAATCAACTGGTGTAAATGAAAGATGTATTTATGAATGGGGAAATCCATTTTATGGTTGAGGTCGACGGAGAAGGTGAGCGATGGGCTAATGTTCTATTTGAATTTTGTAATGATTGATTGATTGATTTTTTTTAGAATAGATCAGGGTTCAGAATGGAAAGTGACGGAGTTTGAAGGATGCGTCTTTGTCCATGACCTTAGACGTACTGTTCAACAGCATCTGCTTCCAGCGGCAGGGAAGAAAGGGGAAGACCCTTGAAGACGGCGCGGTATCGACTTTAGTCGAAAACGATAGCCGGTCATGCATGAAATTTCTAAATGATTTGGGGCTTGAGGTTGGGAAAGTGTGTTTCTCTATCTATCATAGAAGTCGTTGAGATGGACGTTAACTTGCTAAGGGTGGGGAATTCCCAGTGGGCCATTCGAGGACAACCCCTGCCGTTAGTCACGCTCATCGTGCTCCTGCTTACGCTATAAAAGTTACCGAACCTTTGGTTTAGACACACGAACCTCGGGCGTGAAGTCGCGTGGAACTCAGGTAAGTAGCTTTTCTTGTTATTGTTAGATGTGGTGTGGATCAGGAATCTTTCTACGGTAAAGCACGTTTCTCAAACGTGTCAGCCCTTATTCTCACGCTCGAACTTCCCATCAAAACGAGAACAAACACGAAAAGATTGTCCCATCTATTACATTAGATTGAAAACATGCAATAAACTTAGAATTTGATGTCAAGCTGGCTTTAGGTTTTACATACATGTTGTGTAGACAAAAACTTCTGCACTGAAATATAAACTAGTTACGTCTAATTAATTTTTGAAACAGAACACAGCCCATACCATAGTTAAACACCCGTATACGTTTCAATGTATGTATTAAATTAGCCAGTTGTTTGTATGCGTATTCTCTCAATACGGATTGTTTTAAAACGTCTATATATTGTAAGACAGAACAACTCGGATTTCCTGGTAAAACGGCAAAAGTGATGTATACATAGAAAATGGAACGTTTTAATATTTATAACGTTATAAGTCATTATTTCATTCTAGTTAACTGTTTCTACAAATATGTTTAAGTTTTAAAGGATTTTTTAAAGAAAAATTTCTAAATAATCAGTCAGCTTAACTGTGCCTACCATGGCCTGGTAGTTAAAATGCTCGAGTCGTAAGTTCAAATCCCTGCTACCGAATATGCTCTTCCTACGATAGTCACCCGCGTGTAAAATGCTCTTAGCTTAAAACAATTATCGGACTAAAGTCGAAATGAAGGGGAAAAAATCAGTTTCAGTTACTGGAATAATTATTTTATAAGTGGTGCTAACGCCCTCTAGTGTTGACTTAAAATTATAATCATCTTTATTTAAAAAAATGCTAAAGCCAAATCTTAAATATCACGCAAAATATAGATAGAAAAGTCCACCTTCAAAAATAAAAGGCTTTTGAAGTGTACAAATTTTATCGTTGTCAATTTAATTCAAGAAGTATTAATTTAGATTGTCATTTTCTTCCTTTATTGTTTATTTATTAAAATACAGTAATATGTCCCAAAATATATCGTGGAAAATGAAAGACACGAGTTAATATATGTAAATAAAACCAAACTATTCTATATAAAACACAGCTTATAACTAACGTGATATTCTGCGATGTTGTAAAATAATCCTTTACTTAGGCCGGGCGATGTCCTAGTGGTTAGCGTGCTCGATATGTGAACTCGAGGGTTTACGGTTCGCGACCCGTTGGCTACAAAAATACGTTCTGAGTATCGAGGCCCTAGATGTGCTGTAAAAGTGACGGTCATATCCCTCTATTCCATTAGTCAAGAGTACCCAAAGAGTTGGCGGCAAGAGCTGCTGACTAGTTGCCTTCACTCGTCTCTCAGTTCAAACTTGAGTATAGCTGTGAGCAAATAGCTATGTGCAGCTTTGGGTGAAAATTGTGAAACAAATGAACAAACATTTACTATCTAACAAACGATCTCCTTCACAAATCATCGCCATTTTTTGTAAATTTTATGGTACTCTGTTTCTATTATAATGTATTATTATGTAAAGGGATCTCAGACAAGTGGAGATTTTTCTTAATTATCTCTGCTATTGAATTATGAGGAAAGCAATATTCTGATTATATTTAAACCGAGGGAAATCCCTAAAGTTCTATATTTTCAAGCCATTAACAGATTTTTTGTTGTTTTTCCTTGACGAGAACGTGATTTTGATTGCCCAGTCATAATATTTTATTTTTGTTTCTGTTATGCAATTACTAGAGGTATGCCAGTCTGTCTTACTTAACAAACTTATAATGACACGAAACTCTTTTTTCATCTATCTTGGTTGTCTCATTTTTCTTTATAACCGAGAATTTCTAATAATTGGTGTCATTTCTAATCACTGACGTCACTCTCATATAGTCTGATGTTGTTTCTAATCATTAACGTCATTCTCCTACAGTCTGAGAAAATATTCACTTGTCTAGGAGTCAGATATTCTCTGGTATATAGATTGCTGCTCCCCTGACGTTTATATCTTTAGTTTGGTTGCTTGTGTGCTTTGTTTATGAGAAGTATTACTGTTTACAGTTTATTTTACCAACTGAAAATATTCGTCCGAAAGAGATGGATAAATATAAATACATAACTATATCACTCATATAACATTAGATTAGCGAAATGAGAAACCAAAGCCAGAGAAAAATCAAACTTACAAACTATTTCATTTGATGTTGTTGTTTTTTAAAGCTGAACGGCGTTTTGTGCGAAACAGGAGCTAAATGATCAAATCAGAGACATCCGTGATCCAGGTATAAGTCAGAGGCCTCCGTGATACAGGAATAAGTCAAGTCATCCTTAATTAAGAATTTGACTAGAAGGAAATAAGTGAATCAGCGGCAATCTGCCACCTACGCAACTATCCTTAACGAAAATACTACGAATGACTGCCACACTTATAACACCCCATAACTCAAAGAAATGAATATACCTCAGCTCGAATTTTCAACCTTCTGATACAGAGCCCGGCACACTAACCATTAAGCCGCACTTGGCTGCTTTATTTCCTATAATGTAAAAGATTCACCAATTTTCTTCTGTGAAAAATATTGATGGTTACAAGTTATGTTTTGAGAAATATTAAAAATATTAATTGAGTTTCATACATTAGTAGATGTAGTTTACTTGACATATTATTATACATTTTTCTTTGCTTTCACTCAGAAGTTCTTATTTGTAATTATCTAATTTCGTTCAGATGAAGTTTGTATTGTTTAGGATGTTTTGATGCACCGGTTTAGATAATAGTTGAATATAAACGTGACTTGATATATACTACATAGCCTACTTTTTACACAACTCGGAATGACTTTCAGCTTTATAAGTTAAAGTCGATCCAAGGCTCATACAGTTTATATGTGCCAACTTATCCTTATTATTTAAGTTCATTTGTTTTAGTAACTCATCTACTTACTATATTAGACGTTGTAACCCCAAAATAATCATAAAGAATGTCTTTACACTAAGGAATCTGATTGGACAAAAATAGTGAGATTAAGGGAGAAATTCTTTGATGCAAAGAATGTACTTAATTATTCCAATTAACTTGCATCTGTTTTTCTCTCAAATACTCATACATTTATATTTGAGCATGGTATTTATGCCAAAAAATAAAAACTTTTATAATTTATTTACACTGATTTGTGTGTAATCTGAGAAATATGGAACTTTCATTATCTGCGCACAAAAAACAAAAACAAAAAAAGAACAACTCAAAACAGACCTCCCTTTTTTATTGAAGAAGCGGATCCTTATAAATACATACCAAATAAAACTTCTTCCGTTGTGATTTCTAATTAGTATTGTTCCAATGAGTTACATACTTTAGCGTTCTAAAGATGCAATTCTACATATAAATCGTATACAGTATGTAGCATGAAGTTTTATCCATCGTGAATCTTTTTTGAGTGTGCAGTTCTTATTATACATTTCGTATGGTAATGTGCATCGTGGATCCATAATGTATCTTCCTATAAGTGAATTTCTTTGGAAATGTTTTGTACAGTGTGTATCACACTAAATATTCTTAACATGCAGTTATTATATGTTTTATACTATGAACCTATATCAAAGCTCCTCACATAGACTTCTTATTATATTTTATACAGAGTTGTTGGTTATGAATTCACAATAGATCTTCTTAAAGATACAACTACAATTGTATGTTTTGTACAGTATTATTCGTGAATCCACACTAGATCTTCTTAAAGGTACAACTCTAATTATATGTTTTGTATAGCATTAGTCATGAAGCCACACTAGATCTTTTTAAAGGTACAATTCTACTATATGTTTTGTATATCATTAGTCATAAATCCACACTAGATCTTCTTAAAGGTACAACTGTAATTATTTGTTTTGTATAGCATTAGTCATGAATCCAAACTAGATCTTCTTAAAGATACAACACTAATTATATGTTTTGTACAGCATTAGTCATGAATCCACACTAGATATTCTTAAAGGTACAACTCTAGTTATATGTTTTGTATAGCATTAGTCATGAATCAACACTAGATATTCTTAAAGGTACAACTCTAATTATATGTTTTTTACAGCATTAGTCATAAATCCACACTAGATCCTCTTAAAGGTACAACTGTAATTATTTGTTTTGTATAGCATTAGTCATGAATCCACACTAGATATTCTTAAAGGTACAATTCTAATTATATGTTTTGTATAGCATTAGTCATGAATCCACACTAGATGTTCTTAAAGGTACAACTCTAATTATATGTTTTGAATAGCATTAGTCATGAATCCACACTAGATCTTCTTAAAGATACAACTCTAATTATATGTTTTGTACAGCATTAGTCATGAATCCACACTAGATATTCTTAAAGGTACAACTCTAATTATATGTTTTGCATAGCATTAGTAGTGAATCCACACTAGATGTCACTTGTCATATGTTATAGAAAACTACTGACCGTCTTTGTGGAAATACATTCACTGCCTTTCTGTGTTAAGTATGTGTTTGTCAGGTAATTTCGTATTCCTCATTTACAACTTTTGTTTGCAATTTTGCTGTCATA